TTTTTTTTTAAATGAAACCCACTGAATACATCTTGTATGAATCCCAATAGCTCAAATGCTTCATAAATCTCACTTTGTGTGGAAGCTGTCTGAACTATTTGTCAGAAGGAGCACCAATAAGAGACAGGTTGGTTTTCAGTGGAATCAAAAGCATGTCTGAATGTAGCTGCTATTTCAGCCAACATGCAGTGAAACATAAAAGTACTGGCAATGTGTTTGGAGAAAAGCACACACTGCGTGTGAACTAGGGATTGATTTTCACAGTCAATTATAGCCATTTTTAGCACAGTTGTAAATGTGTAAAGAAAGGCCAAAATGTTTCGAAATCACACAAAAGAACTATGAGTAGGTATCGACAAGCATCTGATCTGTAAAAATCTAACATCTCCTCCTGTTTCCATTCTAGCAAATATGAAATATCTCACACATACAAAGTAAAGAATGGATTTAATAGCTACTGTATATGTTGAAATTTTATTCATAGGGGAGACTGGGGCTAATAGTCAAAACTCCATTTTTGTATTTAAGTCTTGACTACAAAAAGCTATTAAATCTAAATTAAATTCCACAGTTATTGTCCAGGATAAAAGATATATATATATAAATTTTTTTTTTTTGTGACAACATGCAACTATAGCATAGGCAGTACCTTGTCACAATAGAACCTGCCATTATAAAGCCTAACATAGTTTTTTAAAGCTCAATTCAATCAATAAAACAATTATGAGAAACAAAATGGTCAATACATATTGTAATTAAAAAATTACAACAAACAAAAGTCATGTGACACCTGACATTTACAAGAAAATACCCTTGTCTCTACAACCAATTCAATTCCCTGCGTGACAACTAACCTCGGTCTCCCCTTATACATGCTCATATACATTTCTATACATCATTCCGTTTGCATACCGTATGTATTGCTTCTTTCTGAATACCCATAATCCAACCCTCCTGTGAAGAGATGTCAAAACATAATTAGCATGTATTAATTCATTTATATTCTTTGTCAGATAAGCAGTGCACCTGTTGCGAGGAATTTAAACTATCCTCTCTCGGCCAAGTCGCTCAACTAGGACAGCACAGAATTAACTAGAAATACAATTTGGAACTTGGGACAAAACAAGAACAGTGGGACGTCGAGACAGTTTATCTCAGTGATTGATACTGCTGCTACTGCAGTGGACCATGAAATTGTCATTTGTTCTGCAAGCGTTGCATCAAATGAAAGTTAAGGGCTACACACTAGCAAAAGGTCTAAACTCTGGCAGTGAGAGGACCCCATGGCTAATTATATCCATTCCATACAAATGGTATACCTATTAATACAGTGGCATATCTGTAAACTGGAGTATGAAAATGCAATAAGATCTGTAACGCTGAATGATACTCATTGTGGTTACTAAGAACAGTCATGCAATACAACACATCACACACACATTGTTAGTGTGTGCATTGTGTCCGTATATGTCAGAGTTGATGTGCTAAAGAGAAAGCATTAGGGGAAATAATGTATCCCATTTGAGGGATTACATTTTCACACTGGCTTTTAAAAGTCATGTTTTAAAAGAATAGTTCAACCAAAAATAAATAAATAAATAATAAACACAAAAGTAGAAATTTTGAAGAATCTACTGGTCAATCTGGACACAAAATGATTTTTAATTCAGCCAGTTTTTGTGAACTGGATCATCTGATTCATTTACTTTGGACTTTTCCACATACAAAGCTATTGTTGTACTAAAGTAACGCAAGCACAACAATTACGATTATATTTACTGTATTTTACATACTTTTGACTAAAATAATTGGAAATAAAATATTTGAAAATGTATCAGTTTGAAAAAAAAACATTTGAATTTTGAACTGTATTGTGGCATTTTCAAAAATAAAGAAATTGTTTAAAACGTGAATAAGAAGAAAACACTGTAACCAACAGCGCACTCTGTAACCTGGCATTCCAGTAACAGTTTTCAATAACGTTAAGCCAATAATTATTTTCATGTTTGGCTCCAATAACTGTTAAAATAGATATTAAAATATAAAACATAAATAAACTAGAAATAAAACACTAATCAATTAAAATCAGTTGTTTTAAATGCAACAAGTGATTTACAGCATTATAATGCATCACAACATTATAATCTGCAGTAAATGGATATTCATTGGATATCCATAAAAACGTCTCAGGTTACGTATGTAACCCTAGTTCCTCGAGGGAACGAGACGCTGCGTCGAAAACGCTCGGGGAACGCCCTTCAGCGTGACGAGCTCTGAACCTCGTGTGTAATCAGACCAATAGATGGGCGAGACGTCACGGCGGGTGACGTAATGACCAGGAAGCTATAAAAGCACGTGCGGTGAGACCAGCGTCAGCTTCTAGGAATGAAGCAAGCGCTGGCAGGGACGCCGGAAGTATGGCACCGCGACGCAGCGTCTCGTTCCCTCGAGGAACTAGGGTTATTCCCCGAGCGTTTTCGACGCAGCTCGAGTTCCTGAAGAGGAACATGAGGATATTCATTTTGAGATTTTTGTTAGAGAGTCGATTTAACAGTGCCATTAAATTATTAGTGTTTTTTAAAGATAACTAATTGAACATTAGATGATGACAAAATTAATCTAAATGTAAAAATAGCAGAAAAGAGCATGCACAATTAAATATCTGATACCAGGCAATATATATCCAACAGCGACCAGTAAAATTCCATAAAATTGTTCTTTTTGTGTTACAAGAACGAAAAAAGTCATATGTGTTTGAAACAACATAAAGGTGAGTAAATAATGGCAGAATTTACATTTTTGGGTGAACTATCCCTTTATTACACACAGGCCCACACACACACACACACATACACACACACTCAAGCCCACCCTCATACTGAAACACAGATTAAAGTCAACATGAAATGACGCTCACATTTTAAACACACACACACACACAAATACTCCACGCTCCCCCAGCAAGAGAATATCATGGTCTGTGATTTCAGTAAGGAGCACAACAGTGAGAACACAGCGACGCCATAGATCGTGAGAGACGTTCAGAGGCGGCGGAATCAGTTGCTGCTCAGGAGGAGAGAAAATGGCAGACAAAAAATAAAAGAGAGAAGTCGAGGAGGCGTATTATCAATATCCCGCCCTTCATGCAGCCCGCACTAAAGCAGAGAATGAGGAAGCCAGAGAGAAGCAGTCAGCATTTAGGAAAGCCACTCGCCCCAGCGCCACACATGACAGTGCCCACTATAACGCCACAGTGCTCGCTCAGAGGGGTGTCAGTGCTGTACTGTGCAATGCCACAAGTTAAAGGAAAAAACACAAAGAAATAAAAGTACAAATATTAGGGCTGTCAATTGAACTCCGTTTTTAATTGAAAGTGATCAATTATAAAAAATAAATAAATAACGCGATTAAAGAAACAAAAGTAATATCCTAACACATTTTTTAAAGTTGATCTCCTTTTTTTACTGATGTCTAATTTGTTAACAAATTATTCTTTTGATTTGGATCTTTAAATGATTCAACTGATTCGTTTAAGAACCAGACTGAATCAGTCTAGATGGTTCTTGAGACTACAACTCAATGACTCACTCAACCGAGAACAATCTCTTTTGGAAATTTCAGACAAAAATAGTTTTTTTTAATGAATAGCGTATTAAAATATGCAAAAACATTTTTATCTAAATAAGTAAACAATGTATTTAGTATTGTAAATGCAAATGTACATATTATAGGTTCTAAATGTCGATTTTAGGAGCTGAATCATGGCTACAACTACTTTCTCAGCAAACACTGATAAGCGATGAATTAACTGAAGTATAATGTATTTTATTTTATTTAAAAATAACTGATTGACAGCCCTAGAAAAAATAAAAATAAAAAATAAAAATAATGTGACGACACACAAAGCTGAATGCCAGCAGGCATCCTGGCCAATCGAGAGAAGGAGAAATTGCAATGAAGAAGAGGTCATTTTTGGTTAGTGCAGCATTTCGGATCCCTTACTGAGCTGCGTACAGCATGTGATACTGACCTGGACTTGAGACAGCACTAGTTGTTGTGGGTTCAATAATTGCTACAGGAAAAGAAGGGGAGAGGGAAAAGAGGACATTTATATATTATTAACATAATGAAGACCCAAAATAGGGGAAAAGAGAACAAAAACATCTAAAGACTGGAAAAAGGGTGTGAAATTTTTTGCTTCTGTGGTCAGCAGGCAATAAAAGAGCCCTTTACACCACAAAATAAAACAATTCCTGCTGAGCTTGATCATCTTGATCAAAATGTAATGTTCAATCATGTTTTGTTCGGTTTTTATGTTCAGAGGGTTTTCATCGGAGTCGGTTTCAAATCATATTATGATCGCTGATCTTTGATACTCCAAATTAGAAGCTTCTGAGCATCACTCAATTCAACGGACCGGAATGAAGCTCAGCTCAATTAACACATGAAATTAAATGTGCACCTAGCAGACAGTCATTTAATCATGACGATGTAATATAGTTTTCATATTATTAATAGATATCATACTCTCTCAATTGCCCGAGCTCCCTTTTTGGGAAATGTTAAAAGCAGGACTTTAATGTCAATCCATTTTTAATCTCATATAGGCTCAATATTTTCCAGTGAGTTACTTAACTGATGGTAATTAAAACTTAACTGGAGGGATACGTCTAGATCTGGGGGAGATATGCAGAAACATTAATGTCTTCACATTTCCATCTGCTGATACATGTACATAAAAGAGTAAAACATAAAAAAAATGGAAAATTAATCCGTCCACGTTAGCCAAAGCAAACCTATTTGGACACTTAAAAAGGTCAGGCTGTCATTGCATTAGATACAAAATATTAAACCAAGTAGCATCTGTAAACAAAAGTGGCTAACTTAATTTGTCCTAGCCATTACTGTGAACCACCTGGTCTCAAGGTCATTTTTAGTAGATGTATGAAATCATTTCCCTGTGAGTTCATACAAGTGCCCTTGTAGAGTAAGAAAAACACTTCTAAATCTCAAATAATACAATTCTATTGTTAAAATATGCTATATACTCCACTTTCTTTCAACAATGCACAACATGCAGCTTTAACATTCCTATTCTTTGTATTGAACCAAGAGGTCAGTAAATCTGTTTAGATGCTCTACTGGTCAAACATCTTTCCGCAATGCAAACTTGCAGATCAGAGTTCACCCAACTTGGACTTTGGCACACATTGAAAGGTGAAACTCTCTGCATGTGTCCATGTTTCCAGTCTCCCACGTTCACATGACTTTGAATGGAAGTGAATGAACACACTCTAGCATGACTGCACCTTAATGGGAGAGTTCACTCAAAAATGAAAATTCTGTCATCATTTAATCCCCCTTATGTTGTTCCAAACCTCTATGACTTTCTTTCTTCTTTACAATACAAAATAAGATATGTTGAAGAATGTTGGTAATTGTAGCGTCTGGACCAATCAGACACACATTTTTTTTTGTTATATTTAACAAATACTCTGTAACACCCC